CAATATCTGGCGCTCAGGGATCATCGTATAGCGCAGACGCTACGGTCATTGGATGTAAGCGGCAGTGATTTATTCATTTTGTATGATAATTTTGCATGTACAGTCAAACCTGTGTATAGCAGCCATGCCAGGGATTTCATTAAAATGGTCTTTATATGCAGGTTTAGTAAGCTCTGCTGTTGGCAAAGTCGAGCGGAGCTTATAGTACTGTGGAATACTTTATTTTCGCTGGAATTAATTTTCGCTGAAAAGGCTTTTTGGGAATTTTGTATGGAATTTATTTTCACTGATTTTTGATGAGTTTAATGTGAAATATAGGGAAAAAAGTATATTCGCTGGATTTTATTTTCACGGAATCATCCCTTCAGCAAAAATAGCGAAAATAAATTCAAGCAAAAATAAAGTATTCTACAGTATTACTGATTGTCCGTTGTCGTCGTTGCCAACTTCACATTTTCGACTTCTTCTTAAAAACCACAAACTGTATAGCTGTGAAACTTTCTAGGAAGGTACCTTGGGTGCTTCTTTCTCAGATTTATTCATTTCGTGTGGATATGTTCAATTGTCTTATTTATAGCGAATATTTTTGTCATTTTTGGTCAAAAATGCTATTTTCGACTTCTAGCCCGAATGCTTTGATACTTAGTATGTAGGTACCTTAGGTGAACCTCTCTCAGATTTGTTCATTTTGTAATGATATCTTTAATTCTCTAATTTTGATGAATATTTGTCATTTTTGGTAAAAAGTGATATTTTCGACTTGTTAAAAACCGCTAGTCTGATTGCTTTGATATTACATATATAAGTACTACATGTGGATCTCTCTCAGATTTGTTCATTTCGTGATAATATCTTTAATTCTCTAATTTTCATGAATATTTTTGTCATTTTTGGTAAAAAGTGATATTTTCGACTTCTTGTTAAAAACCGCAAGTCTGATTGCTTTGATATTACATATATAAGTACTACATGTGGACCTCTCTCAGATTTGTTCATTTCGTGATGATATCTTTAATTCTCTAATTTTCATGAATATTTTTGTTATTTTTGGTAAAAAGTGATATTTTCGACATCTGTTAAAAACTGCAAGTCTAATTGCTTTGATATTACATATATAAGTACTACATGTGGATCTCTCTCAGATTTGTTCATTTCGTGATGATATCTTTAATTCTCTAATTTTCATGAATATTTTTGTCATTTTTGGTAAAAAGTGATATTTTCAACTTCTTGTTAAAAACTGCAAGTCTAATTGCTTTGATACTATATATACTACATAGGCATACAGGTAGACCTCTCTCAGATTTGTTCATTTCGTGATGATTTTGTTCTTCAATTTAATGAATATTTTTGATAAAGTTATAAAAAGTCTGATTGCTTTAATACTATACATATTGTTCATTTTCTAATGATATCTTCTGTTTTTTAATTGCAATGTGCATTTATAACAGCGGAGCTATCTCAGCTTACAGGCTGCTAGTTACTTTCCTTATAGATTGCCAACTTGTACATTTGTCCAGAAAATAATAAGATGGTACTGTTGCAATAAAAACGCATTTGTGTTGAGGAAAATTTTCATAAACATAATGCTAATTATTATCTTGATCCTTCAACAAAGGTGAATCTGTAAAATATTTGTTGAAAGGGTGGTCGCATAAGACGGGTTCTCTTTATACAAAGGTTGTTCACATGTTATGCCTTGGGACTCCCGAAAAGTTGTCAGGAAGGCAGGTCACTATTAAAGACAGGTTTAGTTGTATGTGAAGTAACGTGCTTAGTAGTGATATCTGAATTGACTATTGTTCGAACTGTAGATCAGTTGAAGTCGGCCAAACCTAATATACCAACACATTTGTCTTTGTATGTATTCTCTGATTCTGATTAATTGAAAT